CTGGCTGCAAAAGTCACCGCCGCACGGGAAGAGGCCCGAGTGGGAGGGTCGGCCACATGGACTGCCAACAAACGCCTACACTGGAAGGGTCGACTAACCGCAGCACGTCCCACATAGCTAAACAAAAGGTTTCGCCATCGCAGAATGGATGGCACCTGTGGCATTCGCTGCTCGGCACACCGACCAGACGTCGGAGTTGGTTAGCGCTGGCCTGGTAACAAACTGGAGCGTCGACGAGCCGACACGTTCACACAACCAGCGCCTTGTGTGTATCCCAGTACGTCGAGCCTCAGCCATGGGCGCCATTAGCGGGCGTGTTCCGCCTCCAGACACGCCCTTGTGCCAGCAGAGCTGACGGGGCGTAACCTCGGCACAGGCCATCTCCGCGCCGCCCCCAGGCGCGGCTTCAGACCCTCCGCACCGCGGCCGCGCCGCGCCCGAGCCGGCTCGCCGCTGACGCGGCGCCGCCGACGCCCGTGAATCACGGTACACGGGCGGTGACTCAGGCGGCCCGGCGCCCGAGCCGGGCCGGGCGCGCCGGCCCGGAATGTGCGCCGCCGCACCCTCTCCTCCCACGCCGGGCCGGCAGTCAGCTGACGCTGGCCGTGACGTCACACGTTCGGTCAGAGGTCGGCAGAGAGCGGCGGGTAGAAGCCAAGTCGGCCAGGAGCTATTCTGGGGGGGTAAGCGTTTGCAGGAGGCCCATGGGGGCTTTCTGAGCCCGAAACGACGAACGTTCGCTGTAATGGCGACCCAACGCCATTTCGGTACAGAATTTATCAAATTCAGGGTCATTTTCGTGAACCCAGCCAAACCACATGCACATATTTTTACGCAAGCTGTATGAAAATCTTACACCGTCGTTTTCTGAAATGGAAATCAAATCGATGGCAGTTATGCCACCAGTCGTCAACCGAACCCGCTTTACATGTTGGTGAGCCCGGGGTCCAGCTCCACGTCACAAAGGGATCGACAGAACACCTCCTTTCCCCGCTGAGCTGCAGCGGCAGTTTACAGCCCGCCTACACGCCCGGGGGTCTGAGCCCACCGCCAGCCGCCGGGCGTCACGCGACCCGGCTGCCGGAGCGGCCGGGCCGGCGTCGGGTCCGGAGCCCGCGCCGGCCGCCGGCACGTGTCCGCCGTGTGACAGACGGCCGGCCGGCAGTCCTACCTGGCAGCGAGGGGCAGTCTCAGCTCAGTGGCGGCGGCCGCTCTGCCGGCCGCGGCGCGGTCCCGCCGCCGCCAGTGGAGGCGCGCTATTTTCGGCCGCTGGCACTGCGGCCAGCAGAGGAAGGCCGCCGGCGACCGAGCCGGCGGCGGCCAGCGCTGTCACCGGCGGCCGCCCCCGGCCGCACGCGCTGTTGCCGGGGGTCAGAGGGCTGGGCCCAGGGGCCCGATCGGTCATCCCCGTCGGAATGCGCTGCTCCCGGCGAGTTTGATGTGGAAGTCCCCGGTGTCGTGCTGTGGGAGCGGCCGCGGCGCTGGTTCCGTTCCGGTCTGCGCCAGCCACAGCCAGCCTCCGTTGATTCGCTTATTCAGGCTGCAGGGGCGACGGCGGCCACCCAGCAAACGACGGGAGCGGCTCGCCCAGCGTCGGCCCGGGCGGCGGCGGGTCGCGCGCCGCCACCCCCCGACCCCACAGCGACAGAACAGCGCCCCGGCGCCGCCAGCCGCCCGCCAACGTCAACAGCTGGCGGGGCCCAGCTGAAGCCGCACGACCGCCGCAGCCGCTCCGGCGCACCGGCGACCAAGGCCCGTTCACACAGCGGCAGAACAGCGCCCCGGCGCTGCCAGCCGCCCGCCAACGTCAACAGCTGGCGGGGCCCAGCTGAAGCCGCACGACCGCTGCAGCCGCTCCGGCGCACCGGCGACCAAGGCCCGTTCACACAGCGGCGCCTCGTCCCGCGACTTGGACTGGTCCGAACTCAGCCACGAACAAAACAACGGCGTCCCGGCCAGTTTGTGTCTGTCGCAGATCTGCGGGACTTCGCATATGCCGCTGCAGGCCAGACAACGGACTGAGCGTGCGCTGCAACCAATAGCGCCAGCTTACGGGGATAACAAGGGTCCGGCCCAGCGGTCAGGGACGCTCTTCAATCAGCCAGCCCGTCGGTCAAGGTCACCAGGTCAAGAGGTCAATGCTGGATAGTTTGCCGACATGGCCGGAGCCCGAGAGCATGCCATCCGCCAACCCGGTGACGGCCCCCATACCGCCGGACTTGATTGAGTTGAGGCGTTACGACCGGGCAGGCTGAACGAAGCTGAGTGGACATTAATACCGAGCGACGAGGCGAGCCCGGGGGGCTGGCCGGCAGTCGGCGAGGATCCGCGGCGCACTCCACGGCGCGTCGAGGGAGACCCCGCGGATCAGACCACGCCCAGGCCGAGTGTTCACGCACACGAGGTGCCGTCAGGCTCGGCTCCGCTCAGCCGGTCAGTCCAGGCCCGGCGCTCAGGGACTCAGGCCAAGGGTCAGTCGGACCCGCCTCGCAGGTCGGTGCCGATGCCGCCCCGAGCCGTCCGGTAAGCCCGCTCGGTGGCCGACCGGCGCCGCTGGCCCAAATCGGGCGGCGGCCGCTCCAGACGCGATCGATGCCGGTCCGGCGGCGCACCGGCCGGGCGGCCGCCCCACAGGCGGCGCAGGCTCCGTCCGGCACCGCCCGCCCCCACGCACGCCAATCAATACGCACTACGCAGCGTGTGCCGGCGCGTGTTTACAAACAAAGGTTCGGTCCGGGGTACAGGTGCCCGTGCACAGGTGACCGGTCAGCGGGCGGCGGCACGGCAGCACGGCGGGACCAACCGGCCGTCACGCTCCGCCCACCCTTGCCCGGGTGATGAGGGGGGGGGGGGGGGGCACGCCGTTACGAGCCGCCGACCGCCGCCCAGTTCAGAGAGCGCCCGACGCCCAGCCCAGTCCGGAGCAGAGCACGGACCCCGCGGCCACGCCCCTCCGCTCCGGGACATCAGAGACGACCGCTTCGGTCACCCATTGGGACCCCCTCAGTCATTCACAGCGTCCACACACCGGCACAAGGCCGCTCACCTTTCTCCCTGCACGCCCCCATCGCTGTCCGAGTGTCGTTCGCCGACGGGCTCACACAGTCACCCCACGACCCAGCTCTACCCGCAGACCGACCAACACTAGCGCATCCCTCGCCACGCAGTGGCGGCGGCGGCGGCGGCGACGGCGGTGACAACGCCAAGTGGCTGCCGGCTAAAATTACGTCGGCGGCGGCGCGCGGCGTCCTCGGGGTACTGTCGCTGGCGACGCTTCCGCGCGGAGCGGCCGGGCCCGTCGGCGACGGCGGCGATCGATGGGGACGCTCTGCGACGGCGCAACGCTCCGCTCCAGAGCGGGCAGACTTCACGGCGGCGGCAGCGGCGGGAGCGATCGAGTCCGGCTTCACTGGGATACACAAACAGCATGACAAGGCCGCCCGGACAGCCAGACAGGCCTGTCCCGACAATCAGACAGGGCCGCCCGGACAACCAGACAGACCTGCCCGGACAACCAGACAGGACTGCCTGGGCAACCACAGGCCTCCAGGACAGCCTGGCTTTCCACTGAACGTCGCCAGCGACAGCGTGGTCTCAGTAGTCTCAGCAGGTTGACTCAAAAGAGGACGTGGGTGAACAGAACCCTCCCGCCCGTGGAGCGAAAGGAATGCGAGAATGTCATCATAACTTTTCTGGCGGCAGGGCTGGACCCGATTGCGTCAGATAGCCCGTTCAGTTGCCAGGGCGCCGCGCCCATCGATGTCAACTGCAGTGCTCGTAGCGAGCAGCGTTTTTGCTCGTCGCACATAAACAACGAACCGAACACGGTTCACTGAGGAACGAACATTTTCGGAAACGAAGCATCCCAATGGGGCGCCGCAGTCCCGACAAGGCTCATATGAAACACTTGCCAGGAGCCCTAGACAAACCTTCCGGATGCGCCGCACACCCGGCATTGTCCTCGATCTGAAGAAGCGCCTTGCTCCACAGCAGAAGAGAGCACTCGTGAGACTCACACAAACGCTGCCGAGTCCTCAGTACTACTTGATGCGACGCAGCCAATTCGTTCAACATTCCTTATTCACATTTCATCCGTAGAAGGAGGAAACATTAACAGCCCGATAAAGGGGTGGAAACAGCCAACATGTTACGTCGTAATTACGGGTTTGATGACTAGTGGCGTCAAATGCCAGCTGTTTTCTGTTGCAAGGCGACTCGGGCATTTGTGCGGATCCCGAATCATCTCGTCCACGACTACGGAGACACCATTATGCATGTTTTAACGAACATGCAACGGCGATGCCCAAAAGTGAGCATTTGCAATACGTGCCGAGTTCAGGAGGAGATTGCACCGTGAGATATGTCCATGGAGTTTAAGGCATTTCCGATAACACCACAAACGTTCACATATGTAACGGAACAAAACATGCGGTCCGAGCATCATTCTAGCTCCGGTGGGATACCCACGGACATTGAGGTTAGGGACGCCTTCTTACAGTCAATGCAAGCTTCCTTTCTAAACATGACTTCGGAGAAAGCACTACCTTCGAACATCAACTGCGGTATATGCTGATTCGAGCCTATGAGCGTGCGAGCGCATTGTCCATGCATTCCAATGCGTAAGATTGCTGGTACAAATTCAACAACCGAGCTCTCGTGCGACATATACGCAAGCTGCCTCCCTTCTACTCTCCGCGGACCCAGCCGCCTACACTCGACGGCGCTCAGGGCATCACGACCGCTGTGTCCTGCACCCTCCTTGCTGTCGGCCTCAGCCTCCAATCGGTGCCACGCTAATGCTACAGCCCAGCTGGACACCGACCGGACCACTCTGGACCCGTCACGGCAAACATCGAACAGCGAGCCAACGGCGGGCGCCCGCCGACGCATCATGCTCGCGACATCTAGCAACGACGGCGTCGGCGTCGACGCTGTGGTCGCGGCGGCGGCCGGCTGGCGGCGCCACCGGCGGCGGCGCGCGCGCGCCCCTGTCGGCTCACCTCGCGGGTCAAGCCCTCGCAGCCAGAGCTCACTGAGACACCCTGCGGGCAGAGGTAAGCGGCGCGGTTATGTCGGCGGCCGCCAGTGATTCCGTTGATGGCAGTGCGATGCGCAAAGGCTGTTTTCTTCGAACTTGTATCTCCCACTGCCCAGTACTTTGGCACCTTACTGCTCCCCGCTTGGGCAGCATTGCTTCCTCAAAATAGCTGCAGCAGCAGAATATTTCTTTCAGCTTCAAGCTTCAATGCGTTGATTGGTTATCACTTTTTCCAGTGGGACCATTCTACATAGTCACATACTATTGGCATGAACCCCTGCCATGCAGGGCTCAGCGACGGAAGCTCGGATGAACCATGGGTCAGAGCAGGGGCGTGCGTAGGATTTAGCAATGGGAGGTGGTACAACTGTGTTCTTACCGAACAAATCTTTTCAGCGCGCCGCAACAGCAAGAAATTCATCGTGAGGCTTATGACAACGCTTGTTTTTAATCTCACAAGCTATAAGTGCCTACCACGATTCCTCATTTATCGACGTTTATTCACATGCATATTTATGTATGCCGATATTGGGTAACAGAGGGAGCACGTGTCCCGTTGCTCCCTCTCCCCATTCAATACATCATTGGGTCGGGGCATTCTAGCTCCAGGCTGGTTTCCTGGCTTCTGTAACAAACGCCACAAGGCCCGGAGGAAATTCAGCACGCCTTTCCGGGTCCATACACAAAATGTCCGCGTGCTTTCTGAGTCACCATGTAAACCAAAGTTCACCACAGCAACCACAAACCGATACAAAAATACGATGAACTGAAGGGCCACCTGCGTGCGGCAAGTCAAGCTACTGCGTTTACAACCGCAAGATGCATTGCCCTCTGATGATAGCGAAGCATCACAAATGCTTTGGACAGAGATGCACGTCGTGGCATCGCAGACGTGAACCTCGCACTTCCTAAACATGAGGAATAAAATGCACATATTATGCAACCTACACAAACCTAGTATCTGTACAATCACCAGACATTTTTGAATCTATTCAGCACCTTCATTCATCAGCGTGGGCCATGCAATGACAAGAAATGGCGCTTGCCCCGCCCAGTTCGCATCAACCGACGCATAAAGTTGCGCTTTGACCGGCAGTTGATTATTCGAAGATCGTGAAGATTGCCAAAACTTCCAGCTGATTGTACGATGACATCACGTAACCACAAAATCACTGCCAACCTGATGAAAATTGCATGCGCATCAAGCCCGGCAAGTCTCATGCTGACAATTGATGGTATTTGATGAACAGCTCAGTCACATGTGCGGAACCTTACAAACGGTCGGTGACAGAAGAGAACCGGGCGGAACAGCACGGGGCCACACAATGTTATTGTTCTGACGTCATCATGTCATTTTGAGGTAAATAGAGCTATTTTAAGATGCTAATATTGTATACAAATGTCTTGTTCGTCTGCTGATGTCAATATCGCATCCGTTTCACATTATATTTCGTTGATTGAGACCGTGTTGGGGAGTGCGAGACCGACGCCGGCGACACGCACCCCGTTCCAAGTTCCCTGGACTTCGTCCGGTGTATAAAAGGACGGATTTCAATCATCTGCCATCAGCCTATCCCTGCCTTTCCGCCATCCCAATGGATTCGGCGTGTCGCGTTCTCGCGGCCCCCCTGTCACCCATTCCCCTCGCGACCGTGCTCACGCGGATAACGTCACGTCGCATCCTCTGCTCTAACGGGCGACCGGCTCGCTTCGGTCTACGACGGGCCGTCCTGTCTGCCGGCGAGTGGCCCAGCATCAGCGCTGTCGGCGCGCGCCGCCGGCCGGCGGACTCGGCGCGTCGCTGGCGACCTGCACCGCGCCGGCTCAACTCATGCAGATTAACGACGGCCAGAATGTCGTCTGACGTCCAATTGACCGGTACATGTCCCGGACACAGCGACCGCCGTGAGTGACCTTACCGACATGGCAGAAGCCCGAAGCGGCAGGCTTCTCCTCCATTTCGCTGGTCCTTGACGCGCTCTTATCACAGCAGCTCCCGCACGTCCACACCCTCGAGTGAGAGTTCGCGCTGCACCGGCCCCAGCGCACCGCACCGCACCGCAGCGCCTGTATGTGCTCAGGGCGTGCTACGGAGCCGGAGGATATGCCGGCGCACGCGTCAGTTGCTACTGTACGACCGCGTGTTGCTCGGCTCCGTCTTCACAGCGCCCGCGGACAGTCTCAGTCGTGTGCCGCACTGCACCCGCACCCAGCCGCTCGTCACAGTTCCGACCAACTCGCGAGCCTGCACGTTGGCGACAGGGGTGTATCGTCCACCCGGCCGACCCCTGTTTACCCGCCGCGCACACCAGCCCACACGGCGATCACGTGCAGCGCGGACACAAAGGGCTCCACCCGCGGCCAAGGACGGCACTGGCCAATCGCGTGGCGGCGTTTCAAAGTGGGCGCCGACCGGAGCCAATCGCGCGCCCCTTCCGCACCCTCCGCGCAGGCGATGGGGCGCGGGCGCAGCGGCGGAGGCAGGAGGGGGCCGCGGGGGCTCTACGGGGACGACTGAGGAATGGGGCGTACAAGGGGGAAGGACGCAGGTCGGAGACGTCCCACTGACCGAGAACGACTGAGGAATGGGGCGCACAAGGGGGAAGGACGCAGGTCGGAGACGTCCCACTGACCGAGGACGACTGAGAAATGAGGCGCACAAGGAGGAGGGACGCAAGAGACGCAGGTCGAAGCGAGGGACAAAAAACAAGGGGATTTTGCGGAACAGAAAGGCAGAAACCTCGTACGGACGCATGATGCACGGGTGTTCGACGTCACCCATACATTATCATAACTCCCGTGGCGCCGGCAGACCGTTAAAAAGAGAGCACCAGCAATTCTACCGCATTCTGTTTGCGCGAAACGATATGGCGGATTAGGACGCTGGAGCCAAACGGAGCCCAGCCAATGTAAGCGGCCGGGCGTGTGGTGCGCGCTAACCACAACGTCGCGCAAAGCCCCGGGCGCCGATGGAGACTACGTCGGTAAACAGGCTAGGTCAGCTGAAGGTTATCGCTGCCGCGTGCGGCGGCGGGAAAGGCGCCAGTCAAATGCAAGGCCGCTGCTGCAGACCTAGCCTGTGAGTGACTAGGCCGCCGTTCTAATGTACATCAGTCGGCTGCCTACAATGGCAACTCGCTGCAGCCGCAGCGGTGAAATCCGCATGATTAACTTGAACGCAGCGTAGCAATTTCAAGTGCTAAGCTAACCCAAATTTCAAACAAACATTAACAGTGCGTGCAAGCCACAATCCGCACCACCTCCAGCGCCGCGTGACGAGATGCCGCTGCGCCGTGTCGGACAGCCGCAGCCTGAAGGTCTGCCTGCGCTGTGGCGGCTCTGTCTGTCATTGGGGCTTTACGACGCATTCAGCTGCTGAGGCTAAACGGCGTCGCCTACCTCTCACCCTGGCAGAAAGGGCGGGCACCGCGGGGAATCGAACGCTGTGGCGGCTCATGTGAGCTGTCTGGGCTGGGGCCATTTCAGTCAGGACTTCCCGTTTCAGCTGGAACACTTCCGCCCCAGCACGCCCAGTGCCGCGTCCGGTGGGCTTCGCTGTTCACCCAGAGGCTTACTTATGACAAGTGATGGTCAGACATAGAACTTCGATAATTTATTCATCCAGTCCACAAGTCATGTATGTACGGATCTAAACGAGCTTTAGTGCTCATTGATTAGACCCACTGGACCCGCACCTTGTGATCGCGAACTTGCACCATCGAGTGCAGTCAATTTATGCGGCAGCATGTTAATCACCCACACCTTTATTTTCGGCTTAACGCGGTGCAAGCTGCCACAGCCACGAGGGTCAAATCAGCAGCGGCGCTGTAATGCCGGAGACTCGTCCCGAACATACGTGCAGATCTGACGCTGCTGTCTTGAGTGAGTCATCCGGCTGCTGTCTTGGGTGAATCATCCCGCTGATGTCGGTACAGCACGTCAGAGCCCAGCTACATTTGGTCCGTGTATGGATACAGGCCGGGACGGAGAGCCCGCTGCGGTCTCCAGCGCGAGGACGGCGCGCTGGAGCACGTCCGGCGGCGGCGGGACGACACCGGCCTGCCACTCGCCGACGTAAGGCGCCTCGGGCCGCGGTGGGACAGTCACAGGGCTGATCGCGGGAGGAGCCGCGCCGATGGACCCGCTGGGACCTGCTCCCCGGGCCCTCCAACCCCCGTGGGACGGGTCCCTGTTGCCAGCCCGCTGTATAGACCGCGATAGCACAGCGCCCCTGAGAATGAATTGCATGTGCCGAGAAATGACGTTATGGTGTTGCATCACCGTCGCCAGCCGTTCCCACTAGTCCGGGCCGAGCGTGGGCTGGGCTGATGATATCATATTAACGCCGGATCGCGACGACGCGGCAAGCATCCCAAACTCCATCGGATATTTATTTCGCGGGCCATGCCAGCCAGGAGGGGGGGGGGGGGGGAGGCGTGTTCTAACTGTTTGTCGGCGAACGTAGTGAAGCAGCAAGACCATCCGTCACGCTCCGTGCCATGCCAACCGCACGATAAAACCAAGGAAATAAGCCGTGCGCGGGATTCGAACCCAGGTCTGTCGCTCCCGGCCGGGAGCGGCAGGTTTGGTCTGAAGCACGGCAGACGGCGCTGCGGACCGGGCGGCAGCGGGCCGGATCAGAACAGAGCGCCTGCGGCCTCCGACCGGAGGCGGTCGGCCACTTCCGGTGCGTGGCGGCCGTCACGAGAGGCGGCCGAGCGGGCCGCGCCGCTATCGCCGACGGAGCGACGCGTCACAAGCCACCGCCGCGACGACCGGCGGCGCGACGATGAACTGTCTGCTGAGGAATGGAGGCGCGGTGAAGGGAGACAATGGCACGCCGCGAGAGTTGGAAGACAGCGTAGATGCAGAAGGATCACATTGCGGTGGTGTCGTTATGGCAGTGAGTGGGCTCCACATCTGAGCAGATTGCAACAATTCGTTGGGATGTGAAGGGAAGGTGCAGAGGCAAAAAGTCCGAACGGAATACGAAAGGAACTTGCAAGGGTAGCAGGAATCTGTCTAAACGCATACCGAGACTGGGTAGATGTATCGGCAATGACACAGCACGACCGGCTAAGGGCAAGCTGACGCCTAGGTAAATTCAGACTCGTGTGCCCACACAAGAGCAGCGATAGCAGACAGGCCAACGGCGAACCACGGCACAAACGCGTCTCGGCGGAACGTGAAATCACGGAAACGGAAATTCTTGGTGGGACGAGGCAGCGGTGGCGCCTCCGGGGCAGATTAACGGTGTCTCTGTGTAACCCGAGAGCGTCATATTCTGTGCGGTCGTCGGGAAGACCGCAGCCTCCGCAGTATGTCCGCACCCGATTGCCTATAGACAGAGCGGAGAGTGAGTGAGTGAGTGAGTGAGTGAGTGAGTGAGTGAGTGAGTGAGTGAGTGAGTGAGTGAGTGAGTGAGTGAGTGAGAGAGTGAGTGAGTGAGTGAGTGAGTGAGTGAGTGAGTGAGTGAGTGAGTGAGTGAGTGAGTGAGTGAGTGAGTGAGTGAAGGTGAGTGAGTGAGTGAGTGAGTGAGTGAGTGAGTGAGTGAGTGAGTGAGTGAGTGAGTGAGTGAGTGAGTGAGTGAGTGAGTGAGTGAGTGAGTGAGTGAGTGGAGTGAGTGAGTGAGTGAGGTGAGTGAGTGAGTGAGTGAGTGAGTGAGTGAGTGAGTGAGTGAGTGAGTGAGTGAGTGAGTGAGTGAGTGAGTGAGTGAGTGAGTGAGTGAGTGAGTGAGTGAGTGAGTGAGTGAGTGAGTGAGAGAGAGAGAGAGAGAGAGAGAGAGAGAGAGAGAGAGAGAGAGAGAGAGAGAGAGAGAGAGAGAGAGAGAGAGAGAGAGAGAGAGAGAGAGAGAGAGAGAGAGAGAGAGAGAGAGAGAGAGAGAGAGAGAGAGAGAGAGAGAGAGAGAGAGAGAGAGAGAGAGAGAGAGAGAGAGAGAGAGAGAGAGAGAGAGAGAGAGAGAGAGAGAGAGAGAGAGATGCACAAGCCGGGGCTGGAGCCGCTCCAGCAGCGCAAACAATGGCTGGGCGCTGTTCCAGTCAGCTGACGACGGGTCGCCGCGGCTCCACCGGCGGGCCGGCCGTCAGCCCCGCCGCGCCCAGCGCCCACCCAGCCAGGCGCAGCGGCGCCGCGGCCGGCACGCCAGCTGGCTGTGCCATGCGGAGGGAGCTGCGCCGGGCCTAGATCACCAGGCAGAGCAACGACTTTTGGCATGTCACAGAACCGGAAATGAACTATCTCGAGACCGGTCGAGACTGCACATGAAAAGTAGGCACACACAGGTGCGCGGGAGGCAGTGGCAGTCTCGTGGCCCCCAGCCTGCCAGGCAAAGGTATGACATGATGGCGGAAAAGGACAGGTACGCTAGATGACGGAATATAATTGCAGATCACGGTCACCCCCGCCGGTCTGTGCTTCCTTATTTGAACATTCCTTGCACGTCAATGGGAACAACGATTTCCTTCCAACGTGGGCATTGTACGCCTGCCATGGCAAGTTTTATTTCAACGCGCGATCATCGCGCGCTTCCGTTCCACACGAATCGTTGCATGGTGGTCACTGGTTGCTCAGCTCGCCTGATGGTACCGTCAGCCGGTAACACGCTCTCCACCACCTGCACATCACACCCTCTGGAGATTACTGTCCACGGTCCCCCGAACCCCCACCTCCACGCCTCCGCCGTGTCAGTTTCGAGGGAACACGGAAACACGAACATACATCTCATTTGTGGACACCTGATCCCAAAGGGCCTGAAGGCCCGCCGTTGACAAGATCAGATCAGCCCATGGGACAAATTTTCGAGAGGCGGCATACGGCCGTTCTTAAGAGCCCTCTCATCCGCTCTATCCTGTCCGACGAGTGTGGCGACCCCTCTGGCGCTGCCCCGGGCCGCCTGGTGTCGCTGGCGGCCGTGGCGGACGGGCCGCCGGCGGCGTCAGGAGGGTGGCCAACAGCGCACGGCGACAGGTGAGTCAGCCCTCCAAACCGGGCCGGGCCGGGCCGGGCCGCCGCCGCCGCCGCCGCCGCACGGTACAGCGCGGCTCACGCCACAGCTCAGCCCCGCACTGCTGCTGGCTCGGCAGTGCTGGACAGCGAGGTGAACGGCTCCGCGCGGTTATGACGTGCCACGTCAGCGTGCGCCGTATCGAGAGGGTTCGGTTCGTGGGGCCTTCCTGAAGTTCGAGAAAACATCGTGTGATTCTGAGATCGAGCTGTGTGCTCATAAAACCCTGTGTGGAAGAACCTGCGTGAACGTAAACAACGGAACATAATCAGACAGA